GTGCTTTTCTCTCTTTTCTGTTTAGCTGACTGATATCTGTAGGATCAGAAGAGAAAGCGCTGAAAGACTCCACTTATGTAAACGAAATCTGTGAGAGAGATTAACAAAATTTGAGGTGAGATAATAAATGTGCAGTGTAATTAAAAGGAGGATTTGTGTCTTCTGTCCTGCGAGCCTCTCAAACAGATGGGGAGTGCCCAGCGTGGGAAAGAAGAGAGATGGAGGCTCCAGATTCTGGAGAACATCCCTGTTTTCCTGAGCACTGCTCTGGAGAGTCCTGGGAGGAGCTGAGGGAGCTGGGAAAGGGGCTCAGCCTGGAGAAAAGGAGGATCAGGGGGAATTTGTGGCTCTGCACAACTCCCTGACAGGAGGGGACAGCCGGGGGGGTCGGGCTCTGCTCCAGGGAACAGGGACAGGAGGAGAGGGAATGGCCTCAGGCTGGGCCAGGGCAGGCTCAGGGTGGATATCAGCAGGAATTTCTCCATGGAAAGGGTGCTCAGGCCTTGGCAGGGGCTGCCCAGGGAGGTTTGGAGCACCCATCCCTGGAGGTGTCACCTGGACGTGACACTCAGTGCTCTGGGCTGGGGACAAGGTGGAGATTTGGCACAGCTTGGAGTCGATCCGAAAGGGCTTTTCCAACCTCAAGGATTCTGTGATTCTGTGAAAGTATGTGGCAAAGCCCAAGGAATCAATCTTTGAGGAGTATTAAGTCATAGCCCTCCCTTTTGGCAATGAGGGAAACCCAGGCAAACCTTTTCCAGATCTCCTGGCCAAACTGGTGACACGAGGGGGGACCTGGGTGTCCCTAACCCAGCTACCTGCTCCAGGAGGGTTCTCTGGCACATTCCCACACTGCTGGAGAACGCAGGAGCCCTGATGGGCAGCCCCTCCCTGTGCCCAAACCCTTCCTATCAGCCTGGTGCTATAAATCCACCAGCATGGGGAGGAACAGCTGTGCCAGGCACAGTGTGAGGGAACAGCACTCTGCCCTTTCTCAAACACACCCCGAGGTGAAATCCTAATTCCACTTGAACATCCTGCTCTCCATTTCCATACCTTTGGCTTATCTGAGAGCTACTCCTCTCTGCTGGCAGCAGGAAATCCAACATATGTAAAGTACGGATGGATGAGATCAATGGCATGTACGTGAATATATCCAATTCCAATCCAATTTTATCCTCCCAAGCTAACAGGAGTTCTGTTCTCACTGAGCTCATTCCAAGAGCTCTGTTTGTGCTGGAACAACACCCCTCGGAGCACTCTGCCGTAAGCAGCCCTCGGGAGAGGAGAGAGCTCCCAATGGATAATGGAACAGGCAGCGTGCACTGGATTACAGCTCTAATGTTTGATCCAAAGGCACGCTCCTTGTCCAGGGACTGATCAGCTCCAGGAAGCTCTCCCAGTACTGCTGAGGCAGTGTGAGCTGTGGAAGCTGTGTAATGACTCTGAGTGGGAGGGAGATGGGAAATAGCACATTCCATTAGGCTGGGAGTGAGAGCAGTCTGGGCTGCAGGAGCTCCATCTGCAGAGGGTGATATCCATGGAAGAGCTGGCATGGGGATCCCAGGAGGTGCCACATTTGCACCAGTGTGCAGTGAGGTCAGGGTCTTGTTCACTTCAGAGGGCACCTCTTGCCTTGTTACTCCAGAGACACCCAACCCTTTACTCCAGGCTTGATTTTGCCACATGAAAACAAAGGAGAATTCTCCCTCGAGGGGCAAACTGCTCCCAAAGCCCCTCCATAAGCTCCACTGTGGGTCAGAGCTGACCCTTCAGTGTGCCCTTTTCCCAGCTCCTTCACTCCCATCATTCTCCAGGCTAACACCTCTCCTGTGCCATCCAGGAAGGAAAGTTTTCCAGTGATGGAAAGAAGGAAAGTGAACATGAGCCTCTTGGATTTGCTTCCTGGACCATTTCCCACCGGGGTGATGGTGGGGCTGACGCTGTGGAAAATTCCAGAGGGAAAAATCCACCAGTAGGACTCTGCTCTTGTCCTTGGACCCAGACAAGCTGCATCAGCAAGGGCCAGCTTTGACCCCAGCCATGGATTCTGCCAGTGGCTCTTCTCAGTTGTCCCAGTTATAAAAGAGCTCGGGATGTAATGGCTGGTTATGACAGAGACCACAGGAATTCCTGTCCTGTCCTGCAGCACCAATTATGGTGTCCAAACAGCCACCAAAGCACACCTTCAGCCTTTGGGAGTAAATTCCTTCCACCCTCAGAGGCCTGAGCAGGAGAAGCAGAAACATTTCCACTGGAAAAAGATGGAGGGACCCCAACCAGGCTGTCAGGGCTCTGGCTTTGGGCAAGAGGGAAGTGGTTTCCAGGTTTCAGGACAGATCCCTGAAGTTTTCCCCCTGCCCTGGAAAATGCTTTGGCAGCCAGCAGCACCCAGGTCACACCTGTGCAGGCAGGAAGAATCTGCTGCTCCAGAAACCAAACAAGAATTCCATGGTGGGATGAGCAGCCCAATAGCTGGGGGAAAGAGGCAGGGAAAGAGGAGGGAAGGGTTCTGACTTCCCAAGGTACTGAGCAGGCCCAGGATAGGCAGGATGAGGGCTCTTGGGTCACAGCTGTGCCGTGGCTGTGAGTGACAGGGTGACAAACGGACACAGTTGACTGACACTTCCCTGAGTGCCATGTGCTGTCACCCAAAATCCACGGGTAAGGAGGTGGGTACGGAGTGTGGGGTTCCAGCAGCCCATCAGCCAGCACGGGAAGGGTTCAGCAGCAGGGTTTGGGTGCAGCCATTCCCTGCTCCAGCACGGATCCATTCCCAGGGCTCTGCTCACACCAGCCCTGTCCCCAGGCTGCCAGAAGGGGAGCAGCCGGCTCGGCGCGTCTGCTCCTCTGGCACGGGAGCCGCTGCCAGCAGCTCTGAGGCAGCTTCTGGGCTCGCAGGGAAGGTGGAGGCTGTCCCTCCGTGCTGTCCCAGCTTCCCACAGCCAGCTCCGGCTGCTTCCAGCCAAGAAACGCTTTCTGCCGAGCCCATCTGCAGCCTCGGCAGCGCTCGGTGCTCCCAGAGCCACGAGGATGATGAAGGGGCTGCAAAAATAGAAAATCCACTGTCAGATTCAGCATTGGCACTGTGGGCAGGGGATGGGAACAAAGATTGCCGGTGGGGATACAGGGTCTGACACGTCTGTTCCTGCTGCTTTCCCTGTGGGGTCCAGATGCCTTCCAGGGAAGGCACGGGTTCTCCCAAGGGGAGGAAGGGAAAGGGCTCACGGATTTCAATCCACAAAGGATAGAATAACCTGATCCTGCTGAGCTTTGGTGCTGCCAACCTCCTTCTGAGGAGAATCACAGCTTTTCCCCCATCCTCCAGTTATCCAACACCAATCTCATGTCCTCCCCTCCAAAGATTGTGCAATGAAGCTGCTGGGCCTGGGGTAATTCCCCTGATGGACAGATTCACAAGTTGAAAGGATGGGTTTGGGCTTTTTTTGCTGTTTTCTCCAGAACAAGGTGAGTTCATCTAATTCCCAGGTTTGCATCAGCTCAGCCAGCACGCATCTGCATGTCCAGGCAGAGCTTCTGCAAAGTGAGAGCTGTGAGCTCACAGGATCCGTGTGAGAGGAGCAAATTGGAATTTTTTATTTACATTAGACCCTTCTCCACATCATGAGCTGGCAGTGGAGCACAGAGGAGGCTCAGCTTAGCGCCTTCACACTTCCCAGCACAGCTGAGTTTGCTCTTTTAATGGGCTCCCTGGCCTCTGCTGAGGATGTATTTGCTGCTGCCAACCTGACAAACAAATCTCAGCATCTTGTTGCTGCTTTCTTGGATAAATTGGGAAAAGTGAGGTGTGCTTTGGGGACCTGCTAAGGAAGAGGGATCCTGAAAGAAGGATTAGTGACAGGACAAGAGGATATATCCTCTAGCTGTGCCTGGAGGGGGTCAGATTGGACATCTTCAGGAATTTCTCCGTGGAAAGGGTTGTTAAACATTGCAAGGGGCTGCTCAGAGAGGTTTGGAGTCCCCATCCCTCAGTGTCCAAGGACGATGACATGGCACTCAGGGATCAGTCACGTTGGACTCGATGGTGTTGGAGGGATTTTCCATCCTCTTTGACTTTGGAATTCTGTGATTTATGTCAGGAAAGCACAGCTCAGCTCTTCTAGCCTCATGCTCCTCTGGAGCCTCGCTCTCCCTACAGGCGCCATTCCCAAGGGATCACGATGTGTCCCCCACCCCAATGTCCCACATCAATCACCCCGGTGTCACCCATCCATCACCCCGGTGTCACCCATCCATCACCGAACCCGTGGCACACAGCCAGCCCTCAGCACCTTCAGCACCGCTGTTCCATTACCTTTAATTAAATTCCGACATTACACCACCGTATTTCAGCCGCTTTCATCGCTTTCTTTAGCGGCGGCGGCAGCAAAAAGCAATTACTGTTCATCACAGCTGTGCCAAAATAAATTTACAAGTCACTGCTTGGGTTTGCTGTTTTAAGTGTGGGGTGTGGAGGGACCCCCCTTCCCGGGAAATATTTCATGGGTCTGGATCCTGGTCCTGCCTGAGGTTCTGGCAGAGCTCAGCAACTGAGCAGCAATGACGGAAATGCGTGTGGGGGTGGCAAGTGTCAGGGAAAGGGATGTTTTTTTTGGGAAAATGGCCCTCAAAGTGTCAGAACATCAGAGTGAGTGAGGCGGGAGCTGCTCCAGGAGCATCCCCACACAGCAATGGGGGCAACTCATCATCGATACCCGCTCGTTCCGCAAACTTCGCCTTTTGCTTTCCCCATTTCTCCCCCTTTTTCCCGGTCCTGAGGCAGCGGCAGCTCCCGCTCCGCGCTGCTCCCTCAGGACACGGCAGGACCGGGAGCCCGCACCGTCCTTGACCTTCTCAACATGGCGCCCGCCCCCGCGCCCTTTCTCCGCACACCCCGTGCCCTCCCCAACATGGCGGCACCAGGGGCGCGCGGGGCCCCTCCCAAGATGGCGGCGTCGCTTCCCGCCCGCGGGGCGCTTCCGGCGGGGCCTGGCGCGGCCATGGCGGAGCTGACGGACGCGGAGCTCCGCAAGGAGCTGCTGGCGCTCGGCTACCGCCCGGGGCCCATCACCGCCACCACCCGCAAGGTTTACATCAAGAAGCTGGGCTGCCTGCGGGCCGAGGTGGCGGCGGCCCGGCGCAGCGGCCGCACCGCGCCGCCCAGCCCGGGCCGCTCCTCCGCAGGGCCGCCGCAGGCCTCGCCCTCGCGGCAGCGCTCCGGCTTCACCGGCGGGGCCGCCCGTGAGAGTGAGGAGGAGGACGAGGAGGAGGAAGAGGAGGAGGAAGTTGGGCGGCCGCCCGCGTCCCGCTGGGGGACGTCGGGAGAGAGCGGCGGGCAGACCTGGGGGGACCCTCGGGGGTCCCCGCCGGGCCGGGGCGGAGGCCTCAGGGCTGAGGGCGGCCTGTCCCGGGACAGCTTCGGGAGGCTGAGCCCTTCGGAGCAGTGGGGGACGACTGTAGAGAGAGGTGGCGGTGGGCTGGGGCCATCCCTGGCTGGGCACGGCGGGTTCAGTTCCCCTTCGCAGTGGGACACGTCCATAGAGAGGAGCGGGGGCCTGGGGGTGGACAGGGCCGGGGAGCTGAGCTCTGCATCCCATTGGGACACATCCAGAGATGTCGCAGAGCACGGCCGGGGGCTCAGCCAGGGCCTGGGGGCGACCCTGGATGGCTTTCGGGGCTCCTCACTGCAGTGGGGCGCCTCAGAGAGGAGCGGGGGGCTCAGCAGTGGCCTGAGACCCACCCTGGACAGGTTTCGGGGCTCAAACTCTGCATCCCAGTGGAGCTCCTCAGCAGAGAGGAGTGGGGGGCTCGGCAGCCGGGCTGGCTCGGGCTTGGATGGGCTGGGGGGGCTGAGCTCCACACCCTACTGGGGCTCCTCGGCAGCCTCCAAACCCCTTCCCAGCGAGGAGAGGCCCAGGAGCCATTGGGGGACTTCAGGAGGAGGAATTGGGGTGCAGAGCTCCCGGGCTGCCTGGGACACGGCAGGGGAGAGGAAGGGGCTCTCCGCCAGCACCTGGTGGAGACGGGAGAGCGAGGTGACCCCCAGCACCCAGTGGGGCTCCTCGGCGGCCCCCGGGAGGTTCAGCAGCTTTTTCAGGAGAGGGAAGGAAGACCTGGCTTCCAGCGTTGGGAAGGAGGCAGAGAGGGATGCGGGCAGCCGGGCTGGGGGGCTGATCAGGCGCTTCCCGTGGCGAGCAGCCGGCGATGGGGGGCAGGGAGTGACCCCACGCACGGCCCTGCTGCGCTCAGCGCCCAGGCAGCAGCCGGAGGGAAAGAGGAAAGGCCTGGAGTATTGCCTGTCCCAGTTCCTGTGCCTCGCCAGCCTCGTGCTGCTCCTGATTTTTCTGGGCATCCTCGCGGTGAAGATGGTTGGGTCAGGCTGGCTGGACGGGACAGAGGAGAGATGTACGTGCACTTGTTTAATTCTTATTTCAACTTTATTCCTCACCTGTTGTCCTGCTTTCCCTTTATTGCTTCCATCCCCATCACATGTATCATCCTCATTGCCATAACCTGACACCTCTGTTTCTGTCCCTTTTCCCATCTCCCCTTTTCTATGGGAAACCATGTTAGTCATGGGAAGCAAATCAAAAAGTTTGCTTTTCCCAAACGAGTTTGGCCTTCGGTCCCTCAGACTGTGGAGTGCCATTCCTGCTGGGTCAAGGATGGATTTTATGGATGCCTGCTGGGGCAAGGATGGATTTTATGGTGTGACACAATGTCTGTGTAGTACTTGAGGTTTATTTTTGATGTTCCCTCTGCCAGCACGGCCTGTCCCAGCCTTTTTTCTTCCCAAGGGAGAAGTGAAGCAGATCAATTCAGCACTTCAGGTGTGGCAGAGTGTGTCTCTCTCTTGAGTGAGAAATGAAAAGGGGTTTCCCCAGAAGCTGGTTTTTAAAACAGAGTTCCCCAGCTGGAAAAGGGGATATTCCAGGCTTTGAGCTGAGCAAAGAAAGGTTTGGGGGCTCTTTTGGGAAGGTGCTGCTCCTGAGCCTGGGCACACTGTGCCCTTGGTGTGGGCTGGGGAAGCTGCTGCATTCCCAAAGCCAGGATAAAACTGCCCATTGTCACTGGGTTGTCCTGTTCCAGCTGTGACAGGAGTTCTGGAGGCAGGAATGCTGCCCAGGTGAGAATTGTGCCAGCCCTGGGGCAGTGCAGGGAGCTGGGATGGCTGCAGGTGCCAGGAACTGTTCAAGCCCTGCAGAGCCCAGGCTGCAGTCACCCCTCCAGGAGGGTTCGTTTCCCTCCCTGGCTGTGCTGGGATATTTCAGGTGACCCTGGTGGGCAGCAAGAGGCAGCACTGGAGTGTAAAGATCAGCCTGAAGCTTCTCCTCAAACAGGAGCTGCTAAAAGAGTTTTCGGTCCCCAGCTGAAGACATTCTTCAGCTCCATCCCTGGTGTGTTTTTCCTCAGGGCTGCTCCCAAAGCAGCTCCTGGAGGGGCTGTTTGCATCTCAAGGTGCTGCCAGGGGGAGATGAGCAATAGCAGAACCAGGCTTTAAGTTGAGCCTGCTTTTAAAAAGATAATTATTTTCTTGATCAAAGCTCTTGTTTGCAGCCAGCTAACTCACCCTCTTCTCTTTCCTAGTTAATCTCTTGCCTGTGGATTGTGACAAAAGCACGGATGATGTAAGCATTTATTTATTTATCCTCAATCTTGTGAGCTCTCACAGAACAGTGATTATTCCAGGTATTCAATTCCACCCATAACAGTATCACTGTAAAATGATTAGTTATATCGTTTTACAGAAAAATTGGGACTTGATGAGTTGGAATTAATGGGCCAGATTAAGTTAGGAGTGTGTATGAGACTCTGAAAGATAAAAATTTAAATTCCCAATTATGTGAATCAATTTATTTTTAACAGTTGTACCAGCAGTGGTATTGGTTTGCAATAAAGCTGTTTTCAGCTTTAACAGTACAAGATGTAATCCAGCTAATTCCCTGAGCTCCACTGTGCCTGCACAGCCCTGCTCCCTGTCAGGATGGATTTTTGGAAAAGCTGGGGCTGCCCCATCCTGGAAGTTGCCAAGGCTGGGTTGGATAGTGGATAAAATGCAATCTGGGATAGTGGGAGGTGTCCCTGCCCATGGGATTAGATGATCCCTTCCAAACCAAACCATTCCAGGATTCCATGTGCTGGTTTGGATGGGATTTTGGGAATAATTCCTTCCCTGTGAATGTGGGGAGGGGCTGGGATGGAATTCCCAGAAAATCTGTCTGTCCCATCCCTGGAAGTGCCCAAGGCCAGGTTGGACAGGGCTTGGAGCAGCCTGGGATAGGGGAAGGTGTCAGGGGTGGAGCTGGGTGAGCTTTAAAAGTCCTTTCCAACCCAAACATTCCATGAGGAGGAGGAGGGAGAAGATTTCCTGTTGGATTCTGAGTTCTGCTGTGCTGGGCAGATCTGGAGGTGATGCATCCATCTGTGGTGGGTCTGAGGCTGGTGCTGCAGCCTGGGCTGTGGGTTGGTGGCACTTTATAGAATCCCAGAATCCCAGACTGGTTTGGGTTGGAAGGAACCTTAAAACTCACCCAGTTCCTGTGGGCAGGGACTTCCAGAAAATGCTCGGGGTCAATTATGCCTGGGATGTTCCTCTGCTCAGGAGATTTGGTTGGAGCTGGGGGTGCTGTGGGTGTCCCCATGCCACTGTTGATGTGTGTCCCTGTCCCTGTTTGTGCCCTGCAGTTCTGCCAGGCCAAGCACAAGGACGTGACCATGGCTGTGCTGCACGAGCTCTACAATTACCTGTCGGTGCAGGCAGGTGAGTGCCAGCACACCCCCAGCCCTGCTGAGCCTGCAGGAGCTGCCTCTCCCAGCTCCTGCTCCCTTCTGTCCCATTCTGGAGGGCTTTGTGGAACAGGCAGTTCCAGGGAATAGGAAAACAGGGAAAGGTGGGTTTATTTTTATTCTGAGTGGTGCTTGGCTAATGCAGTCCTGTCAGCCTGCCTGGGTGAGTGGGCCTTGTTTGTACTTGAAGTGTTGGGAGTTTCAGGTAGGATTGGTTGAGTTTGTTATTCTTTTCTACCAACAGCTTGAAATTGTCTTCAAGATAGAGCCAGGAGTGTAAACTGATGTGTTCTTACACATGAAGTGACCTAAGAAATTGTAATTTCTGCTGAAATGTGGCAGTGTGAGTGTGTGAGTGCCTCTCCTTTTCCTCACCACAGAGTGGGACAGGCTCTCTGAGATGAGGAGCTGACCCAGCACAGTCCTACTCCAGGAGTAAAGCCAGCCCATACTGGTATTTTGGGTGGAGTGTGCTGCTAGAAATCCACTGTATGAACAGGGACTTGTTCAGCAAGATTCACAGCAGTGGTGATCAGTAAAAGGGTTTCAGTTCCATTTTCTGCATTTCAGACCTCAAGGCTGAAGCCTTTGGATACTGAAGCTGCACAGAATTCGTAAATCTTTTCAAATCTGACTTCGGATTTCCACCAGATTTACTTAGCACATTTGTTTAGTCAACTTGGCGAGGCAAGATTTAGAGGATTTAGTGCCTTGCCAGCAGTTCTCTGCCTGGGTTAGAGGCAGAGCTGTGATTTCAGCTCCTTGGAGGCATTTTGAACACTGATCATTAGCTCCACACCTGATACCTGGTGGCAGCCGTGGTTCTGTGCTCTGCAAGGGGCAGGAGCAATACTTTTCCCCCTCATTGTGTGTTCAGCAGCTCTGAAGTGTCAGCTTTGATTGCCCTTATCCAGCAGCAGCTCTGAAGTGAGAGGTTTGATTGCCTTTATCCAACCTCCGTGCAGTGGCTGAGCATTTTATTAATAGTCATAATCTGATCTGCCTGCAATATAAATCTCACCCTGGAATCATTTTGCTCAGGGCTGGGGCTGATTGGAAAGGGGAGCATTTCTTGGTGTACATTCAGAGCCTGGTTCTGAGCTATTCGAGGGCTTTTTTACAAATATGATTTTTCTATTTGACTTTTCTTACCAGGTAATTTTGAATGTGGAAACCCTGAGAACCTAAAAAGCAAATGCATTTGGGTTAGTGAGGCGCAGGATCACGTGCTGGTGAGTGGGCTCTGAGCAGCTTTGTTATAACCCAGTGCTTAGTCTCTTATAAAGCAATAAATAATAGACACTAAAACAATTCACCATCCATTTTACTTCCTCATCCTGCTTTGATTCCTTCTCCTATCTCTCGCTTCCCCTTTGGCCAGGCCTGTTCTCAGCAGTTCTTCTGAAAATCATTTTCTCCTCCATCTCTGATTCACCCCCTGTAAATCTTAATGGTTTGTTGTTTCACTGGAGCCATCAGTCTTGAGCAACCAGAAATTTCCCTGGATTGAGGGCTGGGCAGAAGAAGGATTTTTCTCTACTGCAGAGTGTCAGGAGACAGACTGCTCTGATCCAGCATTCCATTTCTTTCCTGGTAACCTGTCAGTAAGATTATGTTGTATTTAGTGGTTAGCCCTAACAGTCTGGGATGGTGTTATTTCACAGAGTTCTTCATGCATCATCTCCCCAGTCAGAAGACCTTAGGCCAGGCAGACCTTCAGGCTTAGTTCTTCTCCCTCCAGTTTGCAGAATCCTGATAAGAATTAACCTGGGGACAGCCCCTGTGGAGTGAATTCTCCCACTGCTGTAATGAAATCATGTTGGTCAGTATTTTAAATGAATGGAGGGCTAATCTTCTTATGGCTTCCTTTGCACAGAATGTAACTGGCACTTCCACACGGAAGTTTAAAGCTGCCCTGGACTGGATACTGAACAGCAACAAGGATTTGGGAATTCGGTGAGCAGAAACCCCCTGTGTCAAAGTTAGGGATCTGCTGATATTGAGTAGCAACAGGGATTTGGGAATTGGGTGAGCAGAAACCCCCTGTGTCAAAGTTAGGGATCTGCTGGTACTCAGCAGCCACAAGGATTTGGGAATTGGGTGAGCAGGAGCCCACTGTGTCAAAGTTGGGGATCTGGGTGTTGGCTGGGGTGGAATTTGACAGGGTCAGTGGTGCCCTTTAGCTCCCAGAGCTCGTTAGGCTTCAGCAGATAGGCTGGGTTTGGCTGTGGCAGAGCTTGCTGGGCAAACTTCCAAAGGAAAAGCACAGCCCTGCAGCAGGATGGGAACTGAGCTCCCTCCAGGAGTCTCATCCCTGCAGCCCGGGCTTGGGACACTGTGTGCAGGGATGTGTTGCAGGTCAGATGGAAGTGGCAGCTCAGGGCTGCTGGTGGCCATCAGTGCTTGTGTTGTGCCTCCTGTGGAGTGGTCCTGGTGTCCTGCCCACGGTCCTGTGCCTACAGCTCTTCCTTAACTTGCCCACGTGGTCAGTTTTCCCAGGATAACCTCATTGTGCATTTGTGGAGCTGTATCTCTGGAGCAGAGGGTTCACTGGCCAGCAAAGCCCTGTGTGCAGTGGGTGCTGTCACCCACACTTTGGGATCCTCTGGAGCAAGTCCTGAGGAGCAGGAGAGGGAAAGGGATGTTGAGTGATAACCTGCAGTGTCAGTTGTGTCTGGCAGAGCACCCAGTGCACAGTGAATCCCAGAATTACTGAGGCTGGAAAATCCTTCTGGGATCACCAAGTCCAACCTGTGACTGATCCCCACCTGGACACCCTCACCAGAGCACTGAGTGTCACATCCAGGTGAACACTTCCAGGGATGGGAATTCCACCACTTCCCTGGGCAGCTCCTGCCAGTGCCTGACCACCCTTTCCATGGAGTAATTCCTGCTGAGTGTTGATCTGACTGATGTGGGTGCTGCTGGGTCACTGAGGGGGCATTTCTCAGGCTCCATCCATGAGAAAGAACAGCAATACTGAGTTTTCAGGGGAAAACCACAATATCTAGTCCATAACCTATGGAAAAAGTATTATCCAGAGTCAGCAGCCATTATCACCTTCCTCTGGGAAGCGTGGGCTGCCTCCAGTCTGCTCGAACTCTAAAGCCTTCACAGTTGTTTGCATTTTCACGTTGCTAAATGTGTCTCTGATTAAATGAATTGCAGCAGTCGTGGTGCTGGGGTTGGTGGGCAAGGCTTGTAGGAATTCCCACTGCTCCATTTGCTCTTAAATATTCCTGCAGCTGCTGCTGTGATCCACGGATCAGACAGCATCTGCTGCTTTGATTCCTGGGGTGTGCAAATTCCCAGGACGGGGCACGGCTTCCTTAGGGGCAGGGCTGGATTTGTAGGTGGGCAGGGATGCAGAGTTTTCAAATCTTGTATTTTTATACACCAGCACATTTCCAGTCAGAAGCTGTGGGGATACAATATCCTCCCACTTTTTATTTTGTTAATTAGCAGCTCTGCTGGCTGGTCCCCAAACAGCTCTGCTTCCCTGGAGCCGGTGTGGCAGCATCCCCAAAACCCTGCCCCTGGCACTTTTAGCTACGTGAGATTATTTTTTAGTTGCTAGTCTGAGAGGCAGGACTGAAAATGAGCTTTGCACCGGGTGATTCTGCTGCATGTTTTAAATATTTCCGTGGAATTTGGGTTCTAAATAAGACAAGGGGGTGGGAAAGTCCTGCAGAACCCAGGACCAGGCTCTCTGCAGTCTGTGAGCTGAGCACCTGTAAATTGAGCAAACCTCTTTGTCTAATGGGCTGTTCATAATTAAGAACTTTAACAATGCAGTCCCTTTTGGTCCTGGATCTGTGAGCTCTGGGAATGGCTCAGTGTGGAGTGAGCCTGGGCTTGGGAGCAGCAGTGCTGCAGTGGGGGCTGAGGGCTCTGTGCTGGTGCTCTGTCACTCTTTGAGCTGCTCCTGCTCCCAGCCTGGGTCCCCCAGCTCCCACTGCTGGGGCTGAGCAGTGGCTCTGACTCAGGGAACGTTTCCATCTCCATGCTGGGAGGTGGGAATGCAATTCTGAGTTTAATCTTGTGCACGCTGAGAGGGGCTGTCAGAGAGGCAGGGCAGGGATACTCAGCGTGCCAGTGGGAGCTGCAGCCCTGCTGCCTTCCTGAAGCCACTGCCACCCCTGGCTAAGCCAGTCCCCAAATGTTGTGGCAGGAGGCTGTGCCTGGCTCTGGGTTCATCTCCTGCTGCATCCGCAGTCTGCTTGTTCTCCCGGCCTTGATTAAAGACTGCAGTTGCAGCCTGCTCTCTTCAGTGAGATTTTCTGCCTCTTCCCTTCAGGTTGAAAGGCAGGGACATGTCAGAGCCGGTTTCCAGCGTGGAGGAAGTGTTCTGCCTGGAATCTGCCCACCCCCAGATGGGGCTGGGCTGCCGCTTCCGCCGGGCCGTGGTCACAGCCATCACGAACCTGTTCCTGTTCTTCTGGAGTAAGTGACTCGTGGGGCTCGGCTGCAGGGATGAAGCCCTGTGATCACACATTCCTCAGCCATAGGAAATGCCTGACAGAAGTGAAATAAATCTGCTGATGAGTTAATGTTTAATTAACCTTTGTTCTGGTAGCACAGGAGACCCACAGCCCTCCTCTTGTGCTGTGAGTGCTTAAAAGTTGCTTTAAATCAGGCAGCTGATGAGCTCTCTGGGTATTCCTCAAGTGCCCATTATTATGGGCTGCAGAATAAGTGTGTTAACTTAGCTTAAGGAGTCAGTTTTTCTTTTTTTTTACTTGCTCTAAGCTCCCAAGTCCTCCAGCCTCTTTAATGATGACTTGTAGCATTTCAGGGTTGGAGGTTTTATTGGAATAGTCTGTCACGCCTCAGCTGAGACAGGGGTTTTACCCAGCAAGGTGATAACGAGAGCTGTGTGACTGCAGGAGTTTCTAATCCAGCCTGACAGGGAGGGGGTGACAAGGGACATTCTGTTTATTGCAGACACTGAAGTCCTACTAGGGGCACTGTAAGTGCTCAACCTTCCATACACATCTCCTGCATTTTGGGCTGCCACTGGAGCCCCAGGCTTTATTCCCCTATCCAGCAGCTCTCCGTGGAGCAGTGAAACCTGACAGTTTTCCAGGGGGATCCTTGTGGGGGAGACCTCTGGGATTTGCAGAACTGGGGCCCTGTGGTTGTGCTGAGGTTTCTGTGAGGGCAGCTCTGTGCTGAGACTTTCCCATCACCTCACCCCACATCCACAGGTGCTCCTGTGCTGCAGGGGGGCAGCATTGAGGAGTTTTTGGGGAACAAAAGGAATCACTGGGATTCAGTTCTAAGCAAGCCTGGGTCACAGTGTCAGAACTAAAACTGCATCCAGCAAGTAGACAGCTGGATTCAGTTTCTGAATTCCTTTTTTTTTTATTCTCCTAGGTCTGATAACCCTTTGGGGGATCCTGATCTACCTCCGGTACCGCTGGCGGAAGATGGAGGAGGAGGAGCAAGCCATGTATGAAATGGTGAAGAAGATCATAGGTAGGAGCAGTGGGAGCACAGGGAGCCCTGCTCTGCTCCCTGCAGGGTCCAGCCCTCACTGTTGTTCCTGCTGTCCCCCAGCTGTTGTCCAGGACCACTACAAGGAATGGGAGCGGAATTTGGAGCGTTACCCCTACGTTGGCATCTTCCACGTCAGGGACAGCCTGATCCCTCCTCAGAGCAGGTGAGCTGGTTCTGGGCACTCAGCAGGGCTGGAAGCAGCAGGATGGGATTCAGCACAGCCTCAAAATGCATCCATCCCTGGAGCTGCTCTGCAGGATGAGGCTGGAGCCTTTGGGTTGGGAAAGGCTTGGACACAGCTCAGGCTGTGCCTGCACCTGGTGCAGGTCAGTGTGCCAGCCCTGGGGCTGGTACCTGTGCATGCCACAGGTGTGTTGTCACCTGTGCAGTGCCACAGGTGTGTTGTCACTTGTGGTATGTTGTCCTTGTTCTGTCCAGCAGTGCCTGGGTTTGGTTTGGTTTGCTTGGAGCTGGAGCATCAGGTGACATCTGCTCCATCTGCTGGCTGTCCTCTTTCCCAGCCATCCTGGCTGGCTCTCCAGACCAAACCAGAACAATTGCCATGAGCTGAGCAGGATATTGGGGCTCTTCTGCAGTGATTGTGTGCCTGGAAGGGGGCCAGGTTGAGCTGTGCAGCTGGGAAGGGAGCTGGAATGAGATGGTTGGGTTTGGGGTTTCTCAGGTTGGGTTTGGGGTTTCTCAGGTTGAGTTTGGGGTTTCTCAGGTTGAGTTTGGGGCTTTCTCAGGTTGGGTTTGAGGTTTCTCAGGTTGAGTTTGGGGCTTTCTCACGTTGGGTTTGGGGCTTTCTCAGGTTGGGTTTGAGGTTTCTCAGGTTGAGTTTGGGGTTTTTCAGGTTGAGTTTGGGGTTTCTCAGACAGGAATTGTGGTCACTGCTCTGTGGGTGGTGGGGCTGAAGGGCTGCAGGGCTGGATCCTGGTGCTTTGCTCCATTTCTGCAGGGTTATTTCTTGTGTTTTGGTTAAATGGAGCTGCTTTGTCCTCCTGTGAAGTGTTAAATGTCCTCCCTGTGTATCAGACACAGGATTCCTTTTCTTACAAGGGGTGACTGCAGCTCTTTGAGCCATCCGTGGGTGTGAGATGCTCAGAACTGCTGGATCCAAAGCTGGGGTGAACATCGGGGTGTCCCCCTGGCTGAGATCTCTGTGTGCAGTATGGGGGAGGGCAGTTTGCTCATCGAGTCCCTTTGCAGCACAAATTGAGGCAGAAATTCAGGGCACTGACACAGCCTCTCATCTTCCCCTTAGGCAGGATTTGTGTGGCCATGCCCTGGCCTGAAATCTCTAAACCAGGTTTTGTTTGATGCCTGCACAGGGAACAGGAGGCAGCCAGATCCACCACTACAGCACAGTTGCTGTAGGCAAGAAAGCACAGCCAGCTTGGGATCCTCATTTATTTTCTTGCTGTTCCTTGCAGAAAAAAGATGAAGCGAGTGTGGGAGAGAGCCGTGGATTTCTTGGCCTCCAACGAGTCCCGGATCCAGACAGAATCACACAGGGTGGCAGGGGAGGACATGCTGGTGTGGAGATGGACTCAGCCCTCGTACCTGTCAGACTCTGAGCACTGAGCAGGAGGAGCAGCCGTGGGGCAGGGTGGGGACACGGAGCCTGGGCAGGGCTCGGGGCCTCGCTGGTGGTGGGAGGAGCAGGGCCTGGCCCGAGGGTTGGGATTTGCACGGCTCTGTTTGCTCTCACTGCTGAAACTCTCCAAACACAAACATTCAGGGCAATACTGGCTTGGAAGGAAGATGGGCTTGAGCTGGTGGGAAGCTGGAATTGCACCAAAGTGAGCCTTCCACAGAGACCTGGCTCCTGTGGCAAGCAAACAACAACCTGCAAAGAATAACTGCACACCCCTCTCGAGGGCTGGGGGGCTCTGCCACAGCCTGGGGGTGCAAAATTTGACCTCAGTTCTGCAAAGGCCAACTGGTGGCAGAGTCCATCTGAAAGATAAACATTTCCCATGGAAACATTAGGGTGGCAGTGCAGGCGTGTCTTTGTTTGTGTTTGTTTTTATCAGTGCAAAGACAGTGAGGAAGCACTTGCTGCTTCCCAGTGAGGAAAAATGTTCTGTGTTGGCTTCATCCATCCAAAATTGGGGAGAGGGGGAATTGGGGGAGGGTGGGCCTGGAGAGAGGGGGGAGCCTGACGTGCCTTGGTGGTTTGGGCTGGGCTGGGGGTGGTGGAGGAGAGTTTGTGACCCTGTTACTCTTTTAAGTCTGCAGTCTGTGTGCTTTATTATTTTCTGGGGGCGTAGTGGGGGGAGGAATTTGGGAATTTGGGTGGAAAATAAAGGATGTAGGAAGCTTCTAAAGGTGCTTTCCTGTGGCTGCAGCCCAGGACTGCTCCGTGGCTGTTGCAGAGCAGCTGTGGGAGGGCTCTCAGGGCTCTGTTCGTGTTTGAGCTGGGCAGCTGCAGTGTCTGTGTTTGTGTCAGAGCAGGGATGTCAGTCCCAGCTCTGGGACTGGTGCTGTTCCTGCAGCCCCCTGAGGGTTCCAGGAGCAGCCTGGGTCCATCCCAGCCCTGCTGCATCGTATCTCATGTCTGTAATCACTTGGTTTCTTCAGCTTCTCTTTCTGTCCAGCAAAGGAATGTTTGTTTCCCAGGAAATGGCACCAGTGGCAGCTCAGGCTCTGCACAGGAGCTGCTGCTCTGCTCTTCCCAGAGCTCTGCAGCAGCTCCTGAGGCTGCAGGACCCAAATCCTTTGGTGGCCTCAGGCAGCAGAAATTGCAGAGTGAAGCCAGCAGTGATTTGAGCCCTGTAGCCCCCGGATGTTGCTGTCCTTGAGGATATCCTGGGCTGGATGCTCAGATTGCTCCTGTCCCAGGCACAGCCCTGGGCAGGTGATGCCACTCCAGGTGTGTTCCTTGTGATGCCACTCCAGGTGTGTTCCTTGTGCCTGCTCACCTGGCAGAGTCTGCAGCTCTCCCCACGTGGGGCGTTTTCCCCTGGCACCCCTCGGGCTGCTGGGCACCACGGATGGAGCAGAGCAGAGCTCTCCAGGAGCCAAATCAGGAGCTCTTTCCCATTAAATGGGGAATATCCTGCGTGGAGGTGGCTCTGACCCCAAATTTTTGGGTGTGGGTGTTTGGGCAGAAGACTCAACAGCTCTTTGAGGCAAGGACCAGCCCCTTGCACTGTAATAAACAGGGAATAAAGGCAACCTTGATTCTTCCTAAATGTATCAAAACCATCACTGCTGCCAGAGAAATTCTCTCAAACACCGGTGCCTCTGTTCTTAAACCTTTTTAATCTCTTGGTGGGGTTTGGGTGAGCTTTTTTAACCGTCCAGAAGTGCAGAGTCAGGCATTGCTGTCATCTTTTTGTATTAAACCTGGTTTTGTAGAACAAACTTCAATGGCTTGGTGCTGTTTCTATGTTCCATTTAGCTCTGTAAAAAAATCAATATCAAAAATAAATTTATTACCAATAATTTACTATTTTTATTTGTGCTCAGACATCACACTGTCCCAAGTACTTTTCTTGGATCAGGTCGAGTTCCAGCTTCTCCCAAGCTCTGGGGTGTGGCAGGAGTGGTTTCCCCACTGCTGTGTGATTATTGTGCAAGGGTGACTCACGTTTGGATGAATTCATCTCTTCCTGTGGCTCTGGGTGACCGAGGGGATTTCCATGGCTCAGGAAGGGGGTGGCTCCATGGCTCACTGGCCAGCAGGAGCTGCCTCCTCTCTGGCTGCAGTTGTTGCTGAGGTTTGGGAGCAGAAGGGAATCAGTGCAAGGCTGATTCTCCTCAGAACCACGTTCCTGGTGGGATGCTTTTACCCAGGTGAGGTTGCTAAGTTACAGCTGGAATCCATTCCAGGTTAGGAAATGGAGCTGTTTGGAGCCATTCCATGTGCCAGGGGGTGCTGCTGTCTGTCTGATGGTGGCTGTGACTGTCACCCCCACCTTGTCCCCTGTTCCATCTCCTCTCCCCAGGGCACAGCAGCCCCATTATTCCATGCCAGTCTGCACTGGGAATTCCAGCAGTTTTCCTGGGAAAAGCTGGTTCTGCCCCCCTGCCCTGCTCCCCTCCCAGCCTTCACTTGCAACCAGAGCTGCTGAGAGCCCTTTCCCAATTTCTTGCAAAGTAAATTTCTATAATTAACTACATTTCTATAAATAACTTCTCCAGTGGAGCCATTGCATGCCCTCCCTGTCAGGGAGGTAAACGTGGCCCAACGAGGGCTCTGAAATGAAACCAGCTCTTTATCTTTTCCTTTCCTGCTTCCATTTAAAGCCCTTCCCACGGGATGTTTTTCCTGCTGCTGACAGGACAGCTGATGCTGCACCTTATTGATGGGCACAGAGTCAGGGCACAGGGCCAGTTCTCCTGGAAAGAGCCAAGGGAGCTGGGGAGGGACAGGCACAGCCAGGGACAGGGAGTGAGTCCTGCCTGGAGCTGCCTCCCTCCAGCACAGCCCCATCCATCCATCCATCCATGGATCCATCCATCATCCATCCATCATCCATCATCCATCCATCCATCATCCATCCATC